GCACATCTCTGCGTGCGCGCAACGCAGGGACAGAATAGCGCGACGGCGCTAGGTGACTTTGCGCGGCGCTAGCGTTTTCCTATCAGGGAACAATTCTTATATACCACTACTAAGGATATCTGGCTGATCAACATAGTTATCGTGCAAGTGCCTTTAAAAGTCAATAATGTGTGGTAAAGATTTTTACCGGATGTTACTGATTTTACTCTCTATTTCAATTGATCATACCCTGCCAGCACAATCTCCGTTTAGACCCACTTAGGGCGGGTGCGACTTTTCCTTATCACAGAAACCCTTTTTTTACATGGCACTATAATGTTCGAAAAGGAGTTTATCATCTCCGAAGCCGAAAGAAGAACCGTGGCTAGGTAAACACTATTTATTTTGGCATCCGAATTTCAGACAACGATGGCATCGTATTTTCACAAGGATCAGAAAATGTTGCAATACTGTGAACAAACTCTTCTTCAAAAACGAACTGCGAAATGGAATTTACTTCCAGCATATTGCTGATGTACCTTCACTATGTGTCCCCAAACAGGTCCGTTAAGTTTTTATTAAATCCAGAAATGTTGATTCTGTTTCATCAAGAGCATAAGAGTTAAATCTGGTAATAGGGTGTTCATGGTAAACTAAAGACTTCGTTTTCATTACTTTTTGCTTAATAATACGAATAAGGGAGCCAACAAAATCATAGATTTTATTTTCAATGAACATCTTCTCCGCTGCAAAAGAAATGGACCGATTGCAGGTCCATTATTTTCTGTTTTAAATCTGCGAAATTGGGATATTACGTGACACACCTATCGGATGATGCAGCTTGTGATGGATTTGCAAATTCTGTTCATAATACAATCATTTATAGAGAAAGCGTTCATTGCGTTTTTAAAATATATACAGCACGTCCATTGAGTTAGCTGAAAAAACTTAACAAATTGAGCACTATAACGTTTCAAATTCTCTCTTTTGCACACACTTAGATGAAACACCTTCCAAAATGTGTTTCTTGGGATATTACGCAAACTAAGGTACTTGACGTTTGATTAAACGAGTGCAGCCAAAGACAAAGGTGATTGGAATGACGGCTAGCCACGCCTTAACCTAGGTATATATAAACTGCGACTTGAAGCCAGTCTGATCAGTCCTTCGCCATTATGCATATAAGGATGTATATAAGGACAGAGGCACGTAGATAGATAATACTGGTGAAGATATTGCCATTCTTATTCAGCCTGGCTTAATCTTACTCACAGTGTCAACTCATCGGCACAAACACGTGACTGCACATCACTAAGATGATCCCAAACCAGGGTTCCTCTGAGGGGTCAAGAGCACTTAATCGAACCGAGGTTTATAAATGCCTTACAGACTGGCATTCTTTATCGCTGCAGGCAGTGTACGAACATGGGTGCATAACGATTACACGAGCTCTTTAAGCAAGTAGGTAATTAAGCGCCCCATTTTAAGAGTCCTGAAATGACAAACTTAGGCCTAATCGACGCGTTTTTTAGCCACAACTGAGCTTTTGTTCAGAAAATCTGGAAGTTAAAACCTCAAACTCTGGTCACTGAGTGTCAAATCATGCCCTAAATCATTGAACTGTGACTAAAGAGTCCTTTCGTTTGCGATTGCGAATCTTCAATAACGTGAGATGGTTGTGAAACATTTTCGCACGACTGCACTTTGTCGCTCAACAACAAGTCATTGCGGGCCGCTGGAAACATTATAGGACACCTTCACATTACAAAAATACTATGACCAAAAACGTTGAATTCAATCCAGGATACACAGAAATATCAGGAGCGGGCAATCCAAATCCTACATGTGTGCAAGTCCGAAAGAAAATACAAGGCGCAATTTTGCTTATCGATAATTTGAAGTTGCTGGCATTCAAAATAAGGAAGTAGCATTTGACTTCCGGCTAACTCATTAGCACTTATTTAGTATACCTGTTCTTAGGAGATCGCCTCAATTTTGAGTGCCTATGATCGTGCTTCATCTTCTAGTGTTTCCTATTTGCCATATTATTTATCAAACAAATGAAGCGTTGTTATTTTTAATCAAACACACATGTTTCCAGAATCAAAAACCTAATGTTCTTGTCTTTGAAATTAAATTAGCGTTTTCATGCAGTATAAAGGTTCTTTTCAATCCGTTCTTGCTATTACCTTGTGCTGAACTCCGCAGCTGAGCTTCTGACTTTTAACGTTTACTTTCAGGTATTTAGAATGCAGGATAAGGCCTGTCTTCTACACAATCACAAACTTACAGTTATTGCAAAAGGCAAACTGAAAAAAGGAGAAGTGTATACGATGGGTAAGAAACTTGCGTAGGGCAGAGATTTTATCTACAGATGTACCCTGGATGACCTTGTCAAAGCTTAATTTTGCCAATCTTCTGATTGGTTGGACTCCTCAGAAGAATATTCTCCATCTTCTGGACGCAAATATGTTGAAAGTACTTGTTTTATCGCGGAAGTTTGCAGTCTATCTTCGAATTAATTTATTTTGATTGCCCGATCATTCTTATAAACTTAACATGTCAGGTAGACCTTCTGAGGCATATATATTTTGGTATAATTTTGCCGAATCTGTAAAAAATGAGTTTCATATGTCTAAGTAAACAAACGTTTCCAGCAAATCTAAATGAACGTGTAGGATTGTTGAAACCGACCGTTTACACAAGGCAGCATCAGCATGTGCATCATTTTGGTTCCAAAGCTGGGACCTTCAGACCGGACGCCATCACAGATCCTTTTTTGACGCATTATTTTAACAATACCAGTTGATCTGCAAATGCAGTAGCCAATACTTTCCTGTTTATTACTTGTTAAAGACCGAAACCATTGGCATGCGTTCGCAAGACTGGGTAAATAAACACATTAAAATACCCTCAGGGAGCAACCTTCGTTGCAATACCTGCCTGTTAACCACTCGTGTTTGCTTTTCCACGTACCTAGTACATGTGGTACCAACAAAGAGGGCACCGGGAACGCGGGGTAACTTCATAGCCTTGCAGCTAGGCCATGCAGCAGCAAAAAAACGTGTCTAAGCCTTCAGCCAGTACACATGCTGTTAGTATATTTTAGTTATAGTACTGGCTGTCCGTTGGCGGTTTAGGAAATATTACGCGGCTATCCCGCAGTCGAGCCGGCTATACAGAGTAAATTTCGATCTGCGCTTATAAACTGTAGAATTTACTGATTTTACTTTTGGTAGGACATTAATTTTTCA